ATATATATATATATATATTCTTTCATTTAAGGAAAGACCAAGAAGTGCAGTGGAGCAGCTGTGCCTTGCAGAAAGCACACGACCTCGAATGACTGTGGAGGAACAGATGGAAAGAATAAAGAGACACCAACAAGCTTGCCTGAGAGAGAAGAGAAAAGGACTCAATATTATTGGCATTTCAGAGCCGTCTCCTTCACAGAGTCTGTCATTTGTCAGAGATAATCCATTCAAATTGGCACAGGTGGGTCCCACGCTATTCAAAAACTTTAATGTGTCCAATTAAAAAGAAAAATAGTTACAAAATTGTTCTTTTTCCAAAATCACATGATACAATAGGTATCTATTTGAGGCTGCTTGTGGAGAGTAACAGTCACAGTTCTCTGGCATACACAAGAGAAAGGGAGAAGACAATCTTCATGCTTATACCTAACGATAGTAGAAGTCACTTCTTTGTCATTTTGGAAAAGAAATAGTTCAAACCCACATATGTTTGATTATGCATTGTGATGTTTGTCAACAGGGTTTTTTTGGTCAAATTTAACGAACAACATGAAATTGCCAGCTTTGTGATTAATAGCAGTGTCAGGGAGAATCATGATTCAGTTGATGTATAAATTATGAAGATTTTTCTGCCATGTAATATATTCAAACGTATATTCTGTAACGTTTTTAGGTAGGAATATTTATGATGATAACTCTTAACTGGTGCTCTTCTGCTGTGTTTTTTGAGCCCATAAATACATAAAAATACAACCCTCACTTTTGTTTTCACTAATTCTTAAACAGTTAAGGCAAAGAAATGAGTTTATTAAATGGTTAAGAGTGGGGAGAGAGGAGAAAGATAAAACTGCCTATCATTAACCGAGAAATACTATCCTGAATGTACATCTGGAAAAAAAAAAATTACCCAACCAACCAAACAAAAAATTACTAACAAACAAAAAACCCCACACCACTTCAGGATGAAAGTATCAAGTATGTTCAGGGTAGTGGCTACTACTTTCTAACTGCTAAGAATTTGTTTTCTTTTTTACTAGCTTAATGGAGGGGGTTTGGTGGTGTTTTGTTTATCTTCTGGCATACCCTTTTTTTTTTTTTTTTTTTTTTTAACACTGACATGAAAATGCATTCTTTTATGTTTTGTATTTTAACATCTCATTTTCCCAAACCAGATTAAATGTATCGCACATATTTCTAAATAAGTTTTAGGTTTGGTTGTTGTTTTTTTTTTCCTCTGAGCTTGCTAAACTGCCTTCAGAGCTATAAAAAAGTTACCTTTCCTTCAACAAAATTGGATCCCCAGAAGACACTGACTTCAAGTTTTGCCTTTGCATTAGAGCGCCTGTATTTGAGATGACATCATGACTTCATATAACAGGGCTCCTACAAATATTTTTTGTGATTAACACTGCCTTTCTCAAGAAGAGGACGTGCAAATGTTTCTTTTTGTAGTCTTTACAGAGCTTGAGCTTTACCACTTTCCTATGGTATGATTTCATACGTCAAGGTGAGGAAACTGCAGTCATGTATGTCATACCGGGGTAGCCAGCACATTGGGAGCAGAGTGGGGGAAGTGGCCAAATCCTCTGTGTCAGCACTACTTGCTACACAGAACTAAAAAAAAAAAAAATTCTTTATGTCAGCATGTTCTTCAGTCTTCTGTGTGAAATCAGTGCTACATGAATGAGATCAAAAATTTATACAGTAAGTGAGAACGCATCTGAATTGAGTATTTAGCTAGTAGTCAAAATCACTTTTTCTATCTCAACTTTAATTCTTCCAGAGTGCTATTTGGCAAAAAGCCCCAAGATGAGGTATTACACTGTAGTAATAGCTCTTATTTTTAAAAGCACAGTTTCTATGCCTATTGATTTTTATACAGAAAAATGATGCAATGGCATTAACTGCTGGAAGTCTTTTCAACTGGGGTTTGGTTATTTAAGAATTGGAGAAAAAAAAAAAGGATTTTATATGTAATTTTTAAGTGATTACCAAAATACACAAGGAAGTTGCTTCACAATTGTTATTGTGTGGAACAAGTGTATGATATGGGTGCATACTTTAGTTAGAAAAGTAAGGAGATTGATTTGTGAACTGACTGACATGGAATTTCCTCTTAACAGAGTGCATGTGCTAAATCACAGGAGTTAAGCCACAAGATTTACTCCTTTCATGGCTCGTAGTACTTAGTTTGATAAGACTTGTATGAACCTCACTTCGGTTTGGCTTGCTACTCTGCCAACATAATGTTTGCGGTTCACAATCTGAAGTCACCTCTACCATCCTTCCTCAAAATTTTTGTATCAAATTATTCTCTGTGCAATGGATTTGGGTTTTTTTAGGAATAAGTAATATCCTCTGCCATTATCAGATGCTATGTTGTCCTCTGTTACATCAGTTGACAGCATAGGCTTGGAATATACCCAAGATAATTGGAGAAAGTGCACACAAGGTGCACTGCCAGTTTTGTACTGAGAGCAGATTTTTATTCATATCTTTTTTTTAACCAGGAAACACTGTTTTTTTAAAAAAATCAGTGCTTGTGAACACAAATAAGAATGCTACTAAGCCTGTGTGTGACTGAACTAAATATGAATGAAATTTCAGAAGATAAAGGTGACTAATAGAAATGCTGGAGTTTGGAGTGGGGGGTGTGTGCAGAAAGTACAACAGTCTTACAGAGAAGAAAACAGGCTGAACTGTTCTGAAAGGCACAGAAATGAGAAAATTCTAAGTCCTTAAAAATGTGCATTTCCCATATTTTAATGTGGTATACTTAAGGTTTTTTTGGTTTTAAGCATTTTTTCTAATCACAGTCGGAGGACAGTGCAAGACTGAGAACTGAGACCGTGATAACTTTTGTAAGAATACATCTATATATCAATTTTGTTCCACAGAATCGAAAAAAGGATGATACTGTATCTAGTAACATGAAGGAATTAGAAAGCACCAGTAAAGAAAATAATTTGAAACAAAATAATGAAAGCCCTGGTGAAGAAATAGCGCAACTAAAACATGATGGAGAACACGAACATAATTCAGGTTTTACTAAAGAGGTACTAAACTGTCCCTTATTGAACTGTTTGTCAGCCTGTCTTGCAGTAGAAAAATATTTTGAGCCACAGCCAGCAGAGTATGGGAAATTGAGCCAGTTTCTTTTGCTTGGAAAATGAAGATCTCTTTTTGGATAATACAAATACTCTGTTATAGAGAGGTGCAAATTTGTATCAATCAGATCTGTCTATAGCCGAGATACTGAATTTTCTTGTATGTGGTCTTCCTAAATTTCATTTTACATAACTTTATCTCTTACCATCTTGATTGGAAAATTACAAAATTATGGTCTTTACTTCTTTGGAAACAAAACCAATACTAATGCATCTTTAAATAATAACCATTGATCTGTTTATTGCTTAGGATATTCCAGTGTAGTTTTGGACAGTCATTTAATACACCTGACTTTTCTGTTTGGTTGGCTATAGTGCATCAAATAATAGTTTATAGGAAGCAGAATAAAGCGGACATAACAATTTATACATGGAAGTAGGCAGTACTTGTAGTTTGTGCTATTTGGTCACTGGATTGATTTCTGTCTTGAAATAGTCTCAAACTCACCTGGGAGTGAGATACCGTGGTGTTTCTGGTACTAAAGTGCCCTGAACACTCAGCAAAAAGAGACTGACTGAAGAATAGATTACTGGACTTGTTTCTACATAATCGTATCCTTCTTATAGTTTAATATTTTTTAAAATCTTGAGTAGAGGGGTTTTTTTTCTTCTTTTCTATCCATATTCTTTAATCATAATCATCCTTTGCTTTTCCTTTTCACTCATTTTTCCTTTTGTTTTCCTATTTTATATTTAGCTTTTTTAAACATAGGTCTCATGGAGAATGGTACAAAATCAAATAATTAACGTTGTTATTCTTTAAAAACATTTTCTATTGAGAATCTGTTCAGGCTTATCAGCAATATATTCCAGTAGCTGGGATCTCTGTTGGCATTGTGAAGAGAGGGATAGCATGAAAAAAGTAGGTAGGCTGCAATCCAAAGAGTTCAGATAAATTCTGGAAGTTATTAAGCCAAGCCCTGCCCATTGGCTCTGCTGTAAGTTTCAGGATAACTCTATTAACCTGAATGGTATTGATAAAAATTTCTGAAGTTATGTAATTCTGAGTTACTAAGTATACATGATGGCAAAATTTGTCTGTTAATAAAACTGTTTCCTGATACTGTATTTCTTATCTGCCACTTAGTATGTGTTACAGCTTTTTGTTTCATGATTTCAATTTTTTTATAGCTGACAAAAACTGATGATCTTTTATCAGATGCACATGTTGTATCTGACTCAAAAGAAGTGAGTAATGAAGAGAAAGCAGAAAAGGAAAAGAAAAATAAATTGGAAGAAACACATGATGGTGATATAAGGTAAAAATAAAACAAGATGTTCAGAGGCTATTTTAAACTTGCACATTGTATTTATTAGCTGAATGGACCAAGCAACTAATGAAATACTGTCATAAATACTTATAAGGTCTATTTATATGTTTTTGAGTAGTTTACATATAGAGAAATCTTGTGAGAAACCCAACCACTGTGGGGGTTCAGTAAAAGGCGATGAGTTGGTGGATGAAGCAATGCTTATTTTCAAGTATTGCCCCAGTTATAAACAGAATAAGTTCATAATCCTTGCTTTGCTTTGGGATACAAAACGTATTTAGGAATGTCAGTTCAAGCTTTGTATCAGTTTATTGTGAAAGCTTCAGCCAGGGCTTCCATAGCAAGCTCTTTACCACTGATATTTAGGAGCAGACTAAACAGCTTATTCTGTATCTCCTGCTTTAAGTCTTCGCTATTTTGGAGCATTGCAGAATTAGAGGAATATTGTGTTCCTCTTTAAGGATTCATAACTTTAGTGTAAGATGCACTGCAGATCCTAACTGAGTTCCTACATTAGGTCATAACTTTTTCACAGCACCCTTCAGCAGAATAGATACCACACAGTAGGAAACTGCATGAGTGTAAAGGAAAGGAATTAAATTTCCAGTACTTTTTTTTAAGTCTAACGTTACAAGACAGAAGGCTTTCGAAATGTGTGCTTAATTTATATTACACAAACTTAAAAGTCACACTTTTCTTCTATTAACAGAAGAAAATTAGTTTGTAAGTTCTATACTTGGTGGTTAACACCTGAAATTAAGTTAGAGTGAGTTTTAAACGCTGTGCTTTTTTTAACCAGCTTGCAGAGTGTGACCACAGTTACAAACCACAAACCAAAAACCAGCTCAGAAGAAAGTGAAGTAGTTAGTGCTCAAGAACAAGAAGGGATTATGTCTTCATTTGAAGTAGCAGCAGAGTCTTCAAAAGGAAATCAGGCAACAGCAGGTATGGAAAAGAGTTTGACTGAAGAACAACTTATACAGTACATATGTAAAACTGTATTTCATTTTGATTATATCTTTTGATGCTATGAAATCCTTGTGAATTGAAAGTGCTGAGCTAGTCTAGATGTCAAGTGTATGGTTTTATAATGTAGAGGAGAATATTTTCCCAGCAGACAACTACAGAAATTCCATTTTTCTGAGGTTTTAACGTAGGTTTTATGGTTGCATTTAATTCAGGGAATTAAATAACTATTGCCAGAAATTGAGTTATACTATTGTTGTTGGTTGGAGCAAATCCTTCCCTATACATCTTGTAGAACACCATCTCAATCCTGGATATGTATAGATTATTTACCCTTACGTCCTTGCTAAGGGATGGCCTCAGGTATACCCAAGATTGAGGAATCTTTGAGTTTCCAATATATCTAGTACCTTTTGAACTAGCAAGTAAAGGACCTCAGTTTGGTTATGTTTTAGGGAGTAAAAAAAGATGAAGAAACAGAAAACACTAGCTGACTGGTAAAATGAGTGGTTATGTACTACTTTGGAAGAAGAAAAGGCTGAAATAAAGCAAAATTGTTTGCAAAGAGGAAGAAAAAAGAGGGGAGTGTGTAGGGGAGGAGGAAGGAAGAAGATAGAATTTAAGACATTATTAGGATATTTGGTGATGGGAATGGTTAAGTAAGCCAAATGGTTCCATTTATGGATATAAAAGGTGACCCAGACCTTCGTAGTACAGTCAGCAATCCTTTTTGTGACTTGATAATCAAAACCAGAACCTGTAAATACATTTTATAGTGCTCAGCAGAATAAAAAATCCTTAGTTATTCTGAGCTGGGTTATAAAGGTGGGTCTGGGAGTATCCTGACTAGTTAAATTTTACTTTTTTTTTTTTTTTTCCCCCTCTCTTTGCAACATAAATAATGCATCAGCCTTCATGTGTCTGTTGTTTGTTCCTTTGGTGTTCTACTAGTCATTTATAGGCCTGAATAATGATCTTTCTTGAGAACAGCTATGCTCTCCCCTGAAGTTGTGCTTATTGTGCTGATCAGATTTTAAGTCTTTACATATGTAATTTTCATTTGGTTCTGCTTATAATTATTATGCTTGAATTGGTGATTTTCAAGCTTATATTTATTATGGCTTGAAATCATGCCTTCAGTAACTTGTATTCTTATTTATCTTGCTGTATGACTCGCAGTGAAAAGTTTGCCTTCTTCACCAGAATCGTCATTGTCACCAGCTCCATCTACACAGACACAGCTCACAGAAGGATCACATTTCATGTGTGTATAGTTACAGAGAAGTACGTCTTTTTTTCCCCACTCCTTCTGCCATTTTCCTAATATTTTTCTGAGTATATGTATTCTAGTTAATTTTCCAAGAAACATCTGTAGACAATACTTAGCAAGACAAAGTTATCTGCAATGTTGAATATAAAACAGAAAAAAAAACCCCAAAACTGCAAATACATGTATTGATTTGCTTGCAAGTAATGTATTCTCTACAAGTACAAAGAAAAAGGACTAATTGGCTTATCAGGCACATCCTCCACAACTGACAAGATAAGAGCCCTTTGAATTACATGAGAGACTTAAGCTGTTACAAACCAGACACCCAGTTAAGGTATGAGCATCACTGCTCAGGTGCAAATGAATCTTGATGCTTCAGTCACGGTAACAGGCCAGTAGAGCTTGAGCACTTAAGTGATACATGGGAGGGAATGGTCTAATGGCCCAAAGAGTTTATGGCTTAAGATGTAGATGACTGAGGCATGACAAACAGGAAGGGAAAAAAACGAGGGTGGAAGAAATGTAACAATTACAAAACTTTTTTTGGTTTTCTTTCTATAAGAATAGGCCTACGCAGCTTCTCTTTCCTTGTCTTAGTAGGTGATTTCTTCCAGGAATCAAGTTAGAAAGCATCAAGTTAGGCTAGATTTACATGTTCCTACCTGTAGTGTTACCTACTTAATGAATGGAAATGGAAATAAAAGTAAGCATATTTGTTTAGACAAGTGTTTAAAGAAATTAGTAGGATACCAACATGAATACTTCAGCACTTTACCAGCATTTAAATCAATCCACACTTCTTTGTTGTCAGGAAGTACCTATTTAAATAAGCTTTCTACTAAAAGAATGAGCTTTGTTTCAATGTTAATGTTAAATGCCATAGCTAATGTAACTTAATAAAACTTTTAAATCAAGACATTTTCAGTTTGTTAGCATGAGATCCGAAAATGCATTTTTCCTTTGCTATTACCCAATACGCTGTCCCAATCTCCATTGCCAAGCTTTCATCTTAGGAAAATTAGATTTTTTTCTTCACAGACACCTTTCTTGTATGAACTATGGGCAGGAAACTATTTATATACTTAGGGAAAAAAAAAAAAAAAAGGAAATTATTTTCATCTTTCTCCTTTTGAAAGAGTGGAAAATGCACTCTTCACATTCAGTACTGACACTTGTATTGCTGGCTCCCTGATGGATGTGGTCTGTCGTGATTAGATTTAGCTTGGACTTTTGTACTTTCATTCAAAAATTTTATTACAGAACTATTTAAAAAAGATAATTGGGATTCAAATTTTTCTGGAAATACTGATTTGTGTTAACGCTTTTCAGTTGCACTGTATAAATACACATGCATTTATCATGTATTTTCTTTTTAAATAGGACAAACATTACCTCACCAGCTCAGTTTCCGGTCAGTAGTGAAACTGAAACTGCACTGCTGAATTCTGTCCGTAACCACAGCACACCTGTCTTGAAAGGGGAAGCAACCTATAACTTCACCAGAAATTTATTAATTACCAATTGCTTTCAGTTGCTTAAGTTGCTTTCAGTTCTTGTCATCAGCTCCAATGTTCAGATCAGCAAATTCATTTTTTTAAGGGTTTATGCTAAGTACGAGACTAGCAAAAGTGAAGCTCTTACGTAGTGATCGGCTTTGTAACTTAATGGCGAAGCCTTGACGTCCTGCAGCTGGTGTATCCGTATAGGGAACACTGGAGCAGTAACATTTCCTGTTAAGTACATAGGCCGTAATGGCTTATGACAAAACAATGTATCTGGGATGGCACTTGTAAAACTAATCCTTTGCTTACGCATGCCTCACTACAATGAAGAAAGGATTCCGGAACTTAAAATACATCTGTTTTGGCTGTTTGGTAGTTGAATGGAGGTGGAAAAATCATTCAACTATACACATATACGTTCCACATTTCTTTGCTGCACTTGATGCCTCTATTGGTCGTTTCCTAGGAGCTCCAAAACAAATTCATGCCACGAGCTGGGCCTAGTATGCGTAGGAGACATATGAAGCATAGTCTGCTTGCCCGCAGTACTTACTACCCCTCACCTTCTGGGGCTGTCGTTCCAGTGCTTTGTGCTTTGCCGAACAATAGGTCTTTTAACGTGCGAGAACTCAGTGTCTCTCGGATGCGAGAAATCCCATGCGGCAGAGGAACTTCAGAGCTGTGGGATCAGCCCTGTTCATATGCAACCAAATTTTTCAGGCAGCATCTGGAAAATGTGTGGTAGATTTCAGAGAATAATGAAGTAATACCTATATTTGGCTTTTACAGTCAATTAGTAAAACGATACTCTTGGCACGATGCCAGGGGAATTTGGCATAGGAAATTGGTGGCACAGGATATTGCAGGACTAAAGAAAAACCCATTAACACAAAGCTACTTTCTTTGTCACGGCTCTTGCTTTGCAGAGAGGAGTCTGGATGTATACCACTAACATTGTTACATTTTAAGCATTACATTTACACTGAGTAATGGAGGGATAATGAAATTTTATACAGCACCTGGATTCAAAGCTCAGAAACATTTTTACTAATGAACGTTAAAAGCTATTTATAGAAGTCCTTTCAGCAATTACCAAAATACGAGTTCTGCGTAGAGTATTTGAACTTCAGAACACCTTAGAGCTACGCTGCCATTGCGGTGTAGCAACTGAGTAATACTGCATCTCTCTTCAAACTGTACCTGTCATTTGTAAGAGCAATTAGGATCTTTACTATTATTACCAGTTTTATATGAAGAACATTTGGAGAAGACATGTACAACAGGATAAAACTCTCAGAATAAACAGACTTTCATGTGAAAGTTGTATATATTTGAAAAAAAGCTTGCTTTTGCTTCTTGCTGTCAGGATACTTTGACAGCAGTATTATTCATCAGGAGAATTGATTTTGGAAACAACTGATTCCTAAGATACTTTATTATGTTCTACACCATTGATAACTACTGCTAGGATGAGGTTAGAAATTCCTTGCTGTGTTTAATCCCAGGAGTTGCTTTATACGATATTCTGTTGTTGCTAAAATAGAGTAACTTAATCTATGTCTGTCTTTCAGCACTAATGGCTTCTGTTGAAACAATTCATGCCTGAGATGTATGGATCTGACCTATGAAAATATGAGAAGATATTGTACAGTATATTTTAAATCTATGAAATTCATAGTTCTGATGCTTTTGGCCACAGAGCATCATTTTATCGCTTCCTGGAAAATGTTTATTCCGAGAGAGCTTTAAATGGCCCACATGTACACTCAACAACCTTCAGATTGTTCTCCTGATACCAGCTTGCTGCTATGATTTCTGTGCACATAAAATAAAGGCTCTTTTTTAATGTGCAGCCTACAGTCAGAACTTGATTTGACATTCTCCAGAATTTAATGTTCTTTTAATTATGGATCATATAAGTTTACTTTTTTGCTTCTTTTAGATGCATAACTCGGTTAATTTTACATATCACCACTAAACCTTGTTTAACACTTTTTAAACATTACAGGTTATTGGTTTAACATTTTATTTGTAAAATGTTTATATATATATACACATATAGATATATTTAAAATGTGCCATTTTTATTATTGCTTAGTAAAATATGTCCTGTTTCTGCTGTAATTATTTCTTGGTCAGGTTGCAATGTCAGCAGTTACTGCCACACTTCTCTCAACATATACATTAATGTTAGTGGTTACTTTTTCTTATATAAAATGAAGTGTAGGTATTTTGAGGTACTGGGCTTTTCCTTTGTTGGGTTAGGGTGTGTACAGCAATAAGCAGGTTTTCAATCCAGTACTCGGTTTGTGTACAAATGTAATTATGTTCATTGTGTATATATTATACAATGAGCACATATGATGTAAGTATAAGAAGCCACTTATTATTGATCAAATACGAATGTTCATATCCCATTTCTTTTATATCATATTAAATAAATGTTGATGTTCTTAAGGACTTGTATGGTTAGTATTTCTTCCAGCAAACAGATGTCACACTGTGTTCCACCTTTTGATGTGGGGAATGCAACAATTCTTATCTCATTGGCGACATCACCTGTCAACCAGAGTAGCAGTGACAGACTCTTAAGAGATTCCAGTCTTCCTCTACGGGACAGAATAAGGCTGCAAAACAGAACAAGACAACCTGAGACTGAGAGGCAAGAAATACAGGTTCAGCTCTTGACTCTCCCAGACTTGTGTCGTGATGTTGGAATAATCACTTAGTCATTCTGTGCCTCCATTCCCTGCCTGTTTACTTGAGAGGTAATAGCCTGTCTTACTGGGCTGTGGTGAGTAGTAATTCAATATTTGCAAATGTTGAATGCCACGTTCAGTGGGGTTAAGGAGAGAAGTATGATGATTCCTTGAGGCTTTGACATCTGCAAAGCATCTTCCAGAAACTGAAAGAAAACCTGAAATAATTTGTCAAGTGTCATCATACTACAGATGTTACTAGCTTTGCTTTTCCATCTCAGGCAGCTGTCTGAATTTGCCTGAGACAAAAGAGGTTTAGAAAAAAATGATGAAAAATGAAAAGATTTAAGGGAAAGCTTTTGAATCTAGGATGTAAAGCTAAGAAATCTTTTAAACCGTTCAGGTAACTGCTGTGTGCTTCAGTGCACGTGTATGCCATAAGTGGTAAGGCAAGTTTCATGAGAAGACGACTGGCAGCTCCTGTTGTGCTTTTTTATCATACAACTCATATCCTGTTCAAGTTAATATTGCTGTACTAGAGACTATAGAATTCATTGTGCTTTTCCATAGAGGAGTGCCTGAGATGATTGACACAGAGTTTGAAATAAACTCTTTATCATTGCCCCCCTAAGTAGGAGTTTGTGTTCGTTGTGCTCTGCTGCCAGGTCTTCCTGGGGCTCCTTGCCACAAAGACACAGAGTATGCTGTCCGTCTACCTGTTGTTTTGCCATTTTCTTTGAAAAAGGAAAAAATAGGAAGCAGAATTTAGCAGCAGAACTTGAAGAGTCATAGTGAAAGAGATGACTGAAGGAAAGAAGATGAATTATGATGCCGGCAGACAGCATCCAGCTGAAAGTTTGACCAAATAGCCTTTTTTTTTTTTTTTTTTTTTTTGTTTGGAACAGTAGCCCCAGATCGGTGCATCCTGCCATCCAAAACATAGAGCCAAGAAGAGGAATGTAATTTTTTATTGCTCAACCAGCTGAGGTTTAAGTTCAGTGGCATAAACTGGAACACCTGGGGCAAAGCAAACAAGACACTCCCTGTTCTCTCCCTAACCCTTCAAGAGAGAGCTGTTCAGCTGTCAAGCTCTTTCTGTCCTTGCTGCCAAGAAAAGAATTGCAACCAATAAAGGAAAGAATGACTAAGTGGTTTTTGGACATTTATAGATCTTGTCTGTGTTTAAAGCAGTTGTCAGTTTGGTATATCTGTGAAGTACGTGCAGTTTATACTGAAGCTGGGGGAGGGTGGGAGAATTAGCAAGTTTTTGCTGGTATAACTGTTGGCAAAGACAGCAAATGTAAATGATGCAGGAATGTAGTAATGCTCATAGATTATAATTTCACTTCCTGTGGGCACTTGCAGCAAAGACTTGCAGTTTCATTTGGGTGCTCTATTTTTTTGTGTCTTATGGAAAAAATTGTATGGCTTTGTGTTACCACAGAGCATCTACTGTCTCTTACCTCATCAGAATAACTCATCCCAGTGATCATACTCCTGAGATACAGAAATATCAGAATACTGATATTGTCAGCCTTCAAACATTATTTTAAGTTTGTATCTAGGATATTTTTATATTTCTGACTGATTGCTTTATTGGCTATTGCACTGACACTTGTATATATGGAACGTGCTTTTTTTCAAAAGCAAGAGTCCTTAGGAATAATGCAACACATTCTCTACAGATGTTCATGCTTTTCAGAACCAATTACATCTATTTTTGTCTTTTGTTCACCATTTGCATTGTTCCAAGACTACTAGAGAATGTGATTCTTTTAAGTCCCTTAATAAAGCAACATTACTCAAAAAGTTAGAGTTGGTGTCTTGGCAGTTTTTGTATGTCGTGGACTGGCTCAAAGAGAAAGACCTCACTGGGCAGTTGAAACCCAAACCTTGTTTATATTATTACTGAGGGGGTAAAAAAGCAGTCTTCAGTTAATATTGCCTCATAAATGTATGTCGTAAAAAGAATCCAATAAGGTTCAATTTTCAGGAAATCAGAAAAAAATTAAGCAGTTTATTTCTATCTTAATCACTTCAATTGGACAGTCTAGGAATGAATTATTACCCATAATTACCCTATTGGATCCACTAGATGTAGTAACTAGGAGTACATACATGAAAAACGTTAATGGATTACACTGTTAGTAAAACATCTACTGAATTCTCTAGTACTGGTGACTTAAGTTACATCCTGGTTGAGTAAAGCAGCAGAGTGGAAGATCTTTAATCAGTGGTAATGCTGGATAGCTTACACTCAACTTTTCATTATATTGTAACAATAAGGTGGGTTGTTTGGTTTTTTTTCTTTTCTAATAAAGCAAACCATAAATAGTATTCATTTAGATCTCAGAAGTGGGTTGTTGTGTCTTTTATGCACAATACTTTTCTGTCCCTGTGATCCTGGATTCTGCTATACTTATTTTCTTAAGTTATTCTAGGGTATTTTAATCTTATTTCAGTTTGAATCCTTAGTTAAAATGTGATTTTCCATCCTTTGGAAAGTTGACATTTAAATGGCCAATGAACAAATTGCCCATACCTGGCATTAATAATGTATCTGAAACAACTTTTTTAAGGATGCACGTGAAGATAACAAAGCAACATCTGGCCTTCATTTCTTCTAAAGAGCATTATATATACTTGCTGTTATATCCTTGGAGCTGCTTAGCTTGTCCATATGGGAACACTGAAGAAGCTGCTAGAAAATAAAATGGAATATACTGGTGGCTGAAAGCAAACGTCTGGCCTGAAATGAAGGCTAAAAGCAGCTGCTTTCTGAACTTGACACGCACAACTTGTTACCCAGCTGTTCCAGATGTGTCAGTATTCAAATGTTACTTGTGGAATGATGATTTTGGTATTTTTTTGTGATGTTTCTTCATTCCATCATATGCCAAAGAAAATGTTTTTAAGGTCTGTCTAAATATTACCTAGCTGTTGTTGTGAACTTGCAAGCAACTCTTAATTGTAGCTCTGGGTAAGTAACCACACCACCGTGGTTGCTAATTGGCTTACGTGGCAGTTCTTGCTATGGAAGTTTTTAAGAACACTTATTTAGGCTGGGTTAGGTTCTGTTTGGAATAAAAGAAAAAGCTGTAAGCAAATAGTGCTATTTCCAGTGGACTGCTCTAGAGTATATCAGGACAAAAACAGATGTGATCTCATTAACTTCTTTATTGCTAAAACCAAACCTACAATAAGGAATTAATTTTTTGTCAAATTCTATCCAGATCCCTGTTCTATGGAACAGGAATACTTCAAAGAATTTCAGACTAAAAATGGAAACACCCTCTTCCTCTTTTGAAGGTAAAATGAGTACTTAAAAAAAAAAAAAAAAAAACAAAAACCAACAAACCCTCAAGTTTAACTTTATACATAGAAGAAATAAGGTTTACTTATTGCCTAGAGATTTGGTCAATGAAAACTTTCAGAAAAATACCTGATCCTCATCTGTTGTCATCTGGTAGTTGTCCCGAATTACAGTGAAGGGACTAGCACTGTCCAGGACTCCCTTCTGCAAGTTTAAATCCATTCCAACACAATGTGTAAAAATATTCTGCATTCCTTGTATGGAGAAAAAGTGCCTTATCCATACAGCAGCTGCCTGTCCCTACTTGAGCAGCTGAATCCAGACCACCAGTTTCTTACTTAAAATTGCTAAAAACTGCAGGTGCTTAGCATCTTGAAAGATCAAGCTCAAAGCATATCATGTGAGGCACCGAACATTTCCAAGTAACTTGCATATGAATCTCCTTTATTTTTAGCAACAGATTCTATTTAGAAGATAAAAGATTTTTTTTCGAAGTACTACTGACACTGCTAGAAATCAAATAATAAGTAGGTACAAACAAATATAAAAAAAAATTACTTGAGAAAATTGTCATTAATTGACAAGAGTACATTTCAAAGTGATTGTAAAATTCAGCAACTCTCATAAAAATCATCACAATATGAATTTCTGCTGAGTCTTGACACTGATTACATCTGTAGTCAGCTGCTCTGTATTGTGCGACTTTCTTGGTAAAATCCCAAGTCAGCAAGAATGTGGAGGCTGTTTCAGATGTTTTAGCTTTAAAGATGAATGATTTACTTTTTTAAAAAATATTTTCATGCTCATCCGCAAGTCTTGGAAACAGCCATTAGCAGCTATTGCAT